ATTCATAATATCTAGTATCTAATATTTTATTCATGTCGCCTAGGGTGAAATTTTCTAAATCTATCTCATCAATATTATATATTTTATTTGGTGATATGGTTTTTTCCTCTGTCATTACATAAAGCTGATTTAAGTCATTATGATTATCTTGATTTTCTTTCCTATTTATACTGCTAAATTCATCATCTTCAGATTTTTCTGGTGCTACATACGTATTTTGAGTAAATCTTATTGCATAGCTTCCATCTGTTTTTTTTAAAATAATCTAGTAGTCCCTATTAGCTTTTTTTTATCACTACTCATAAACTAAAACCTTATTAGTTGTTCTAAAATTTTTAATTTCTGTGTTAAATTATCTTGAATTTGGTTGATTTGTTCTATTTGTTTAGCTATTTGATTTATCTGAGTATAAATTTTTTCAATTAGTTGCTTAAATTCTAACTCTATTTGCTTTGAACCGTTATTATTTATAGCTGAAATTAGAGTTTCTATTTTTAACTTAGTGGGAAATGTTTCTAAATTTAAATCTGTTCGTTTTTGTAAAATTGAACTACACTGGTCTTGGATATAATCTAATTTTTTATCTTGATCTTTAATTATACTACGATTATTACGGAGATGATCTATAGATGAAATAAAAAGATTACTAATTTTATCTATGTCCTTTTTAATATTTTCTTCAAAATTAATCTGATAATTTACAATACTATTTAACTGAGGATTATGTTCATTATGAAGCTGATGTGTAAAAGTATCTTCAAAATTACAATGGAATTTATTTTTATCTATATTAAGTCGATTGTTATGATTGCTGAGTTCTAAATCTAAATAATCTACTCTTTTCATACGCAAAATTAACTCCTACTTTAAAATTATTACAAGCTACTATAATATGAAATTTATAACTAAATTGTCCAAAAATAAAAACTACTCTATTTCCATAGGCAAAATGCATAAACTAACTTAAACTGTCCTAAAACCGAATACTGCTCTGATACCAATTTTTTTTAGGGATGAGTTAGTGGTCTACCACTATTTTGAAATAGGGCTGAGAATTATCTAATTAATTCTACAGTTATGCTAATAAGACTTCAAGCTGTTGTATGGCTAGCTTTAAGGCTTCTTGTTTTACAGTTATCTGTCTATTTATTTGAGAAATTTTTAGACTGTAATTTTCTAGGAATCTGCCAGAAGCTAATGATAAGAGAAATTGATATCTTAATTTTGGTCTTCTAACTCTTGTATAAGTTCAGTACTAATTTTGATTTTAATCCTAAGTTTTTCTTCTAAGGCCATAAAATTTTGATTTGTAAATTCCTTTTATGAACAATATTTCCTTAATATTTCTACTCAGGTTGCTCTCCTTTTATTCTAAAATTCTTTTTCTTGGGCAAAACTATTTTTAGGCAATGTTTGTTTTCATTACATGTACTCCTACCTTGAAGCTAAGCTTCGTTCAACATAGTATATTTTTATTTTCTATTTTTTACCTTTCCCCTTCTGCCTACAATTTGTCCTCAAACGCCTAACCACGACTCACACGGGCTCTTCAGCTAAGGTCACTCAGTAATAAAATAGAAAACAACAGATACTACGAAGGTGCAAAACATGTAATATTAATGAGCAAACAAGCATTCCATAAATTTAGTTTTTCCAAAAAGAAAATAAATTTTTAGAATAGAAGGGTTACCCTTTTGAAATATTTAAGGAAAAATGGAGATTACTCACACTTCATATTAATAAGTAGTATACTTACAGAGATTATGTTACAGACTCTGACTTTCTGAAAGACTTGGAACACTTAGAATTTTTGAGAGGGGTTGGAAGTTTTTACAAAGTGGAGTGAAGGGAAATTTTTTTTATTCTACTTCTTCCGTTGGCATGAATGCCAATTTGTACACATGGTTGATAGATACATACAAGTCCAAAGATTACAAACAATCCAAAGAAAAACTCTATGTCAAAAGTTTGGACTTAAAAGTCTAAAAGACTACTCTAGTTTAGGCCATAGACTTTTACAACAATTTCTATGCCATAAATGTATAGATTTTTACTTAAGGGTTGTTTGGCATGATCTAAATAAGTGTACTTTTTGTCTTTTTATGAAAAGATGTACAGAAAAGTAGAGAAGTGATGTGATGGAAAAGAGATAAAAAGATGAATTATTTTGTGTATGCCAAACTTGGCCTTAAATTACTATTCTAGATATGGATAAAATTTTATTAATAAAATATTAGGATAATGATATGAGGTACTGCTTTAGGCCCCATTGCATATCATTCAATCTTCCATTTTTGATAAAATTTTGACACTATAATTTATTAAAGACACGTGTAAGGATTTTCATAACTTTTCTTTAATGTTGCAGGATGTGGGTCATCTGCTCTATTAAAGTAGTGCGTGAAGGAAAAGCCTTATCACTAACAGATGTAAATAATTATAGACACAAATATTTACAGAATTTTTTGTCGTTTCTTGGCGTGCATTTCTCTGATAATTGAAGAGAAACCTTATCTTCTACGGATTTTGTCTTCTTCTACTGAAGTATCAATTATTGATGTAGACCTGTGGGGTGAATCTTTAAGATGGATTTGCAAAGGATCAAGGAAAATTTTTAAATCTAAAAAATAAGGACTTGTTAAGATATTTTTAAATATTACAATAGTCTATTTATAGTGTGCACGTTTTATTCTTGTTTTTGTTTTCAGCTCAAGCAGAATCCTTATTAGTCAAAACTCTGACTAGGATGTTGATGATGATGGCAAGGATAATCCTCAATCCTCAATAATCAATCAGTGATTTGTCATGTGAGTTGGCCTACCATCATGATCATGGCTGAAGAACCTCTTTGGCTACAGTCCATATCTCATTGACACGTGTGCCCATTGGATTTGAGAAGATTAGGCAGTTTGTTTGGATTGAATTTTTAGAATTTATTTTTTAAAAAATTAAATTTTCAGAATTGGTAAAAGGAGCAACTCGTCCTCAGTTTGGTGAAACGTTTGATATTTTCTCAATTTGATACTGTTTTGGTGCAACCACTAGAGCACAAAAAATAGCTTTTTTTCATCAAATTTGAATTTGATGTTGGATTTGGTGAACCATTGGTGATGGTCTTATAACTAATTTTATCATATTTTATTTATTTTAACAAACTAACTATTAGAATAGTTGTTGTAGCGAAAATCTTCCAAGGTTACATTTGGAGAGCTTTAGGAGATTTTTTTAAATAATTTCTGTGAATATATAAATAAAATAAAGAGTAGTGTTCTCTTCTAATTTGAAACAATGGTAAGAGCAAAGAAGCAAATTGAAGTGCATGGTGATCCTGGATATCGTGCCTGTTTGGTGCAGCTTAAAAGCTGCTTATTTCAGCTTTCAGCTTAATTTAAGTTATTTTGATGTGTTTGATTTAGCTTATAGCTTGTAACTTATAGCTTTTTGGAAGTCAGAAATCAGCTTATTCTTTGAGTGTGGCAGGATATCGTGCCTGTTTGGTGCAGCTTAAAAGCTGCTTATTTCAGCTTTCAGCTTAATTTAAGCTATTTTGATGTGTTTGGTTTAGCTTATAGCTTGTAACTTATAGCTTTTTGGAAGTCAGAAATCAGCTTATTCTTTGAGTGTGGCAGGAGATGCTTAATTTATAAGTCAGAAATCAGCTTATGTTCATAGTTATAAGCTATAAGCTGTTTGGGCATAAGTTATAAGAACTTTCCCACAGATCTACCAAACAGGGCCATCAACTTGAAGAAGAATCTGTTTTATGCAAAGAAGGTACCATTCAAACACAAAGATGAAAAAAAAAGAAAAAAAAAAGAAGGTAAAATAAAATGTGTATTTATTTATTTATTTTTATACTTTAATTAGTAAAAAAAAAAAAGAGTACTCACCAAAAAAAAAGAAAAAAAGAAAAAAAAGAGGTGTGAACAACCAATTGATTACACCATGCCCTTGTAAGAGCTTGGCATGATGTTAATCTCCATCTTGCAATTGTATCAATTGATGACTAGTACTTTCCCAAACTTTCTTCTCTGGCATGATGTTAATCTCCATCTTGCAATTGTATCAATTGATGACTAGTACTTTCCCAAACTTTCTTCTCTCAAGGGGCTACATCATTACTTCATGTTGCTGCTATGTGCACGTGTAAAGCCAAAATGATCACAACCATAGGATCAGAACCCTCTGTATTCATGTATTAATCAATTAATTCAATCAAGCACTTTGTCATTAAAAACATATATAATCTTAGAATGTTGCACTTAATTTGAGGAATATCCAAATGAGAGAGTTGCAACACTTTCCTCCTCACATAATACATTAGCACAAGCTAGCTATCATGAAAATTATGTCACAAACACTTCTGTGTTATGACTAAATCTCTCTATCAGTTTGTCTTAAAATATATTTACAACTGCACAACATAATGAGAATCTCACGATATAATTATGTATACGAAGGGCATTGTTTGTGAGATAATGATACTTAAACGATTACTCTTTATATTATATACATAAAATAAGATGTCTCACTATAGTTTTCATAGATTTTTCTTCTTAGAAAATGTTAACCATAGCCCAATGATCATTAGTTAAAATTAATATATGTGTCAATAACATACTGAAATTAATTTTTTTTGACATTATTTAAATCTTAACCAATAATTAACAAACCCTTTCTTTTTTAAGGAGAATGGTTGGTATGATCCTTTCTTAAAAAGGAATAACTAGAAATGAAACATATTTCTTAGAATATGTATATTAAAAAGGTGCATGATTAACATGACCATAGAATTGGATAGAGCAAAACTCTTCATGATATGTAAGAAAATGTAGCAATCAGAGAGGGTCCTACCTTAATGAATTCATTCATTTCCCATCTCTTTCACTATGTTTTTTTAAGAGATCAGACTGAATTAACAATATATAACGTGTCGTTGATAATAACACTTATTGTAATATCGTTATTTAAAACCATGATGGAGAGATTATTGAATCCAAGTAGGAGGTGGGATACAAATGAAATATTAAGGAGAAATCTGAATGAATTATTTCGCATAATCTTGGGTCAATTCAAACACGGAATAGGAAGCAAAATCCAAAAGAATTGATAACAGTTCTAAGAATGTTAATAAAACTAATCCAGTCGGTTAAACAAACATTATTTTATAAAAAAATATGAAAGAAATAACAGCTAGCAGCTAGGAGCTACCATAGTACAGTAACCATATATGAGGCCAAACATTGCCTATATATATGATCATATTCTATAAGAGAGAAAGAGGAGGCAAAGAAGAAGCAATGGCAGGGCATGAGCAGCTGAAGAAATCAAGGGTAGTGAAAGTGAACTCTGAAGAAACTTGGGATTTGTTCGTAACTAAAGCGAGAGACCAAGGCTGCCCTGTAAAGTCTTCTTCTTCCCTCTACACTCCCAATACTCCTTTGCTACATACTTATATATTCTTGTTCACATACACACACATATATGTAACGCATCATTCAGAAAGATTTTCTGTTCTCAAATCTTTGTCATCCTTTTCTCCAAATACCTAATCATGTTTCGAGAACCTTTTTTCAGAACACTTTAAAATTCTCACATGGTTTAATAATTGTGTGTTTTGGGATAAAGGAACGTGAAGATATGAGTACAGAGGATTCCATAACATGCATGGTAGTTAATCTATTTTGTCAGGATTAATTGATTATTTCATGTAACATAACTGGTATGTATTAAAAAAATATGTTTTAATTTGAATCTATGATTTATATTTAAACTTGGTGTAGACCGCATTTATAGTAAAATCTTATCCACATGATTTAGATTCTCAGCACCTTTTCAAATAATTTTTTTGAATATTTTTTTCTATCTATATATCATTGTTATGTTTTGGTTGCTAAAAGTTAGATTCCAAGCCTTTATGGTCATAAATTATAAAAGAAGGTTACACTCGAATAAACTTCACTACACATTTTTCATTTATTTTTTATTTTTATTTTAATAAGGGTAATTCTGTAAATTGCAGATTGTAGTCCATTTTACTGCTTCTTGGTGCTTGCCATCTGTGGCCATGAATCCATTTTTTGAAGAAATGGCATTAAGCTACCGAGATGTTCTGTTTCTAGTGGTGGATGTGGATGAAGTTAAGGTAATCTTCTTGTTATAGTATTAAAAATATTAAATAACATAAAATTTATGGGTATATTTCACCAATAATCTCTTCATTATCTTCACATCCAATTATAATTTGTTGGGACAACCATGGTTATCAAAATCCCGATCCGGATCTTACGATCCTACGATCTTACGATCCATTTGAGTACAATCGATCCGGATCGTGTAAAAAACTCTTTATAGGTACGTAGGACCTTTCGATCCTGGTAGTGGGATCTTATAGGATCGCGAAATCCCGATCCGAATCCGATCCTATCCGATCCAATTTACAAGCCTTGTTTTGTATTGTATGACATATTTTATTATAAATTTTATGTTTGTTATCTAAATACCAATTTATGTGGTCAAAATAAAATAATAAAAATTAAGTAGTATTGAATTAAATAGACTAAGAAAAACAAACTAGGAAACAAATTAGGAAACAAACATTCAAATATTGCGGTAATTTAAAAAAATTAAATAATCGAAAAAACAAACTTAGCTTTAGCAGAGTCTAAAGAGGGTAAGATGATTGCAAATTTATCTCAATTTTTGGAGAGATTAGTTTTGTGACTTGAATCCGCTCCACCAAGGATACTAGTGACAAACCTTATCATTCGGTTAAGTTATTCTTTTGAGTTCTTAATCTATTTTCATATCAATTTCGTTAAATATTTTTTCTTCACTTTTTATGCATTATTGTAGATTGTAAAGTATTTTGTTGTAGAATTCTTCTTCTTCTTCATCTTCTTTTTTGATGAAATACAATACTTTTACCATCGAGTTTTCTATTGTATAATATTATATGTACATTTTACATGGAGTATTATATTTTTCACAATATCTTTATTTCTTTTTAATAGAATATAAGCTCATTTTGTGTATGCTTTATAAGAAATATTTATTTAAATTAAATTATTATGTAGTCTGTCTTTTTCAGTAAGATCTTACGATCCTCGATCCGATTCTACGATCCGATCCTATAAACACCTCCAACGATCCAACGCATTTTACTGCTTCTTGGTGCTTGCCATCTGTGGCCATGAATCCATTTTTTGAAGAAATGGCATTAAGCTACCGAGATGTTCTGTTTCTAGTGGTGGATGTGGATGAAGTTAAGGTAATCTTCTTGTAATAGTATTAAAAATATTAAATAACATAAAATTTATGGGTATATTTCACCAATAATCTCTTCATTATCTTCACATCCAATAACTAAATTTCTAGTAGTTAAAAAAAAAAAAAAAAAAAAAAAAAAAAAAAAAAAAAAAAAAAAGAAACCCTTAATTCTAGTATCTTGCTTTGTATCATTTCTGTTTTTTGAGTTTGGGAAACTTTTAAAAATTTTAGCGAACTATTTTTAATAAAATTTAATGAAAACAACCAAAAAATTAAATTCATACAAAAATAAACATGTTTATTGTATTGTTTACAAAAATTATATTATTTTTCATTTTCAAAAAACATTAAACAAAAAATATGTTTAGTTTCAAAAACATTTTTTAAAAGCAAGTGAAATGGAGTTGCCGGGGGTAGTGGTCAACGATTAGGGATGGTGGCTGGCGATGGTGATGGATGATGGTCGAAAGGGATGGAGAGGAAGGAAAGAATGAAATCAATTTGCAAAACAAGTATATATACACTCACACTAAGGATAAGCACTATATGTGCAATTAAAAAAGTAATGGGTGTTTTATGAGACAATTTATAAAAAGAAAAGAAAAGAAAAGAAAAGACCTGAATAATGACACTTGTCAGCATTTTGGGGGGAAAAAAATAGTAGATATATGTAGACATAGTGGTTACAAAAGGGGCCTAGGTGTTTTGAGATTTTCATTATTTTTTATTTTCAAAATCATGAAAAATAAAATGTGAAAATAAAATGATGAAAACAAAAGCGATACCAAATAGACCGCTTTTCACCCCTAAACATTATCAAACAATTACACTTGATTATGTATATTAATTAATTAACTTAGAGTGTATTTTTGTGCTTAATTTATATATATACAAATTATAGGAGGTAGCAACAAGGATGGAGATAAAAGCCATGCCCACATTTGTGTTGATGAGGGAAGGAGCTCAGGTGGACAAGCTTGTGGGTGCTAACCCTGCTGAGATCAAGAAGAGGATTCATGGTTTTGTTCACTCTTTTCGTTCGTATTTTATTAGTTAAAATCCCACTTTCTTAGATTTGATGATGTGCAGTGTGAGTGAGTTTGCATTATTGTTCTTTCAATTTCTGAAGTAGTAGTGGTTGAATTTGTAGTCAAATAGTGGTTTGATTATTATAAGTTCTTATGAATTTGCTTGATTGTGAAGTAGAAGAATTATAGCCCTAAAGGTTCATTAATGTGATTAACATGATTTTTGTCATTTGAAACTCTTTACTTTGAGTCCCATTTTGTTAGCATTTCATTGATTGGTATTCTCCTTTTACATAATTCCAAAATTTTTTCTCAATCTCCAGTAGCAAAGTCTTTTATTGAGTTTGTAACTTCTGTTGTGATTCATAAAATCTTGAATGCAAACATTACTTTGATCATTTTCCTCTTCTATCTATGTGTAAGTAATGTCATTTTCCTTTCATTTTCTTTATTACGAAGAAATTCAAGATCTAAACACAATATAAAAGCAATACAAGAAAGCAAAGTTTGATGAAAAGAAGCCACTTACGGACCCATTAGGAATGCAATGCCGGCTGTATAGATCTGTCCTCCACTCTCTTCGTTGTACATAACCAAACGACTTCCATACCAAGCAAGGAAAGCCCAGATTGCAAAAGAAAGCCCTGTGCTCCCAACAGCAAGGCCTTTCGCAATTCCTTTCTTAATCCCCATCTTGGTTGTCTTATCGAGTATTGCTGAGAGTCTTTCAACTATATTTTTCTCGGCAGTGAATGAATAGACGGTCTTGATGGAGCCTAGAGCTTCCTTGAAGGATTTGTCAGACAAGTAGAGAAGGTATTTGCCATAAAGCATTCCAGGCATGACTAAAGTAGTGTTGGGAATGCTACTAAAGACAGCCTCCATGAAAAGTGAGTGTAGAATGCAAGTCCTGAGATGAACTGTGATGTGTGCATCAAAAATTTTGGCACCTGTAAGGACTTAAAAATGCTAAGTTCAAATGTCACAAATTGATAATCATATTTGACATAAGATTGGGCCCTAGCGGTAAGTTTGTTCCTTTGTGATCTGGATGTCATACGCAATAAGATTGTACACATCTAACTTTTTTCAAACTCACAATGACGCCCTTTTTAGATTGGATATAAGATACTTAAAAACATCATGAATAATTTCATTAACACGGTAATCATTATCTTGAATTATTCAATCTTACTTTCTGATATTGTTCCCCTTATTATATTCAAGAGTCAATTATATATATTGAATAAATGTTGTGTAATTATGGTAGATGATAGTGAAGAAGTTCATGAAACTTTAGATTAGTGGCTCTGAATGTTTGAATTTTAGTACCTGTAAAGAATTAAACATTCTAAGATAAGTTAAATGTCACAAATTGATAAGCATATGACATAAGATTGGGTTTCAACACTAAGGTTGCTCCATCGTTACTTAAACGTTATACAAAGTAAAGTTGTATACATTTAACCCTTCTTAGATCCCACAGTAATTTTTTTAAGATTTGATATATGATTTGACAATTTTCTTTTAGGGTAAATTACAAATACAACCCATAAGGTTTGCTTAAAATACGAATTGTCCTCTGTAGTTTGAAAAATTACAAATACCTCCCTGTCATAATTTTTTATTTAACAAAATTAATTAAAAAAATTGAAATTTCTAACTGTTCACCTATATAATAATAAAATTATCTGAATTATTAATTGAAATAAAATTTTAACATTATTAAAACTGTTAATTAACTTGATGATTTATTAAAAAAATGACTTATTTATTATGAAATTAAAAACATTAGAAGACATAATGTAATTTCTAGAACCACAAAAATAATTTGTAATTTAAGTAAATTTCAAAAAGTGTGTTCATAATTTATCCTTTCTTTGAACATGATAATCATTATTTTAAACTGTTCAATCTTTTTTTTTTTTTTGGGTTGGGGGGCGGGTTAAGCTTAACGTGAATGGTTTAGAGAGAATTGTTGAACACCTAGTATTGTTAACGTAATTTACAAACATGCTAATATCTCGCTTAGTAAAAAAAAAAGGTGATTAAAAGGGGAATTTAGAAGAACTAAGCAAAGGGATGAGGGGGCCGGGTTAAGCTTAACGTGAATGGTTTAGAGAGAATTGTTGAACACCTAGTATTGTTAATGTAATTTACAAACATGCTAATATCTCGCTTAGTAAAAAAAAAAGGTGATTAAAAGGGGAATTTAGAAGAACTAAGCAAAGGGATGAGAGAATTGTTGAACACCTAGTATTGTTAACGTAATTTACAAACATGCTAATATCTCGCTTAGTAAAAAAAAAGGTGATTAAAAGGGGAATTTAGAAGAACTAAGCAAAGGGATGCCCAATCTTTAATGACCATTTTTAATAAAATTATTTAGTGATTTAAGACTACTATGTTATTTTTGAACTTGACATGGATAGGCCCATAAGGCTTATAGCCCACAGCAAACAACCTCAAACCCATCGCTTGGGACCCATAGCATAACCCGGTTGGCAAAGCCCAGGACAGCTGGAGGCCATCTGGGCATGGAGGGCCAATGACATTCGGGCACATGGCAGGTGAAACACAGGCCACATCAGCAGACAAAGATCTGCAGAGTTATTGCCACAATATATCACCATTAATGCATCCTATCACAGCATTTATTACGACAACACCTCCCCGTCGGAACAGAGCCCCCTCACCCTGAACAAGGTAAGCCACGACACAGGCTTTCGGCGGAAGGGGGCACGTCGCAAGGGACAGTGAAATGATTACCAAAGGCTATAAGCAAGAATCGAAGACAAGAGGAAGGTTAAGCTTTTCTATCTCTCTCTCTCTCTCTCTCTCTCTCTATTTTTTCCTCCTTCCTCTACTGATTTGCTCACCGGAGGATTCACTGGAGGACTGCCCCGTTCCCCTTTGGACTTGCCTGCAGGTCATCTGGTGGAATCATCCGCCTGAATCGGAACTTGAAGAGCTTGGACCAGCTCGACCCATCCACCCAGGACGAACTGCATCATCAGTTGGCGCCGTCTGTGGGAACTTGTGGTTTATTCGTGCGCTAGTTGTGTTCACTATCGCCGGAGCCCCCCCTTTCTCCCCATTACCTTTTCCTCTCACCCGTCCAAGTGTATGGTCACGACTAGATCCATGGCTTCTCACCATAATACCGTCGATCATCAAACAGACCCTCCCCATCCAAACCACCCACCACAGTACATCATCGAACTCACCAACAGCATTAACCGCATGGCCGAGCAAAACCAGGCCCTGATCAGTGCCTTACTCCAAAGAAACCTCCCCACTCCACCTCCAGATATTCCACCCAACCAAGAAGGAACCTCGGTCCATACTGCTCCACAACCCCCTCCGCTCAACCCAGAAGGTTTACAACCTCCTCCTCCTCTACATATGAGCCTACCACCTCCACCCCCACGCCCGTCAGTTGTGGCACTAGCCCCTGAGGGGGAAGCCAGCAGCGTCCAGCCTCCATTGACCGACCATGGCGACAACATTCCCCTCTGGGACGCTGAACTCCGAGCTATGAAGCTCCAACTACAAGGGGTCATGCAGAACATTCAGCACAAGCCCTCAGTCACCGCCAACTCGCCTTTTGTTGCCTCCATCCGGAACAAACCATTGCCCGCCAAGTTCAAAATGCCCGCCATTGACTCTTTCGATGGCACGACGGACCCAGTCGACCATCTGGAAACCTACCGCACCCTCATGATCCTCCATGCTTTCCCTGACGAGATCATGTGCCGAGCTTTCCCCGTGACACTGAAGGGATCAGCTCGGTTGTGGTTTAGCCAGTTACTGGCGGACTTCGTCTCCACCTTTCAACACCTCAGTGACTCCTTCCTGAGCCATTTTATCAGAGCCCAGCGTCAGAGACGCCCAGCCACCCAACTCCTTAACATTCGTCAGACCGAGGGGGAGTCGCTCCACAGCTTCGTCACTCGCTTCAACACCGAAGCCCTTCAAGTAGCGGAGAACGACGATAAGGTCATCCTCACGGCTTTCATGGCCGGCCTACGGTCGTCTGATTTTCTTTTCTCCCTCTCCAAAAACCCTCCAACCACCATGGCAGCCCTACTATCCAAAGCCCAGAAATACATGAATGCTGAAGATTCCCTGGCCGCTCGGCAAGAGCCGATCACTAAAAATCCGATCCCCAGAGACAAGAGGAAAGACTCAGAACCCAGGACCGCCCAGTATAATAGCCAAACACCCCACTATAATGACCGAGCCGACCGGTCGGCTCCGACCCGACCGCCCAGTCGGTTCGAGCGGTACACACCACTCAACTCTCCCATGGAACACGTCCTCAATCAGATCCAGCGGGACTACCCCCTCAAATGGCCCCTGCCTTCACGAAACCCTTCCAATCGCAAAGATCAGTCCAAATACTGCCGTTTCCACCAAGACCATGGCCATACCACCGACGAGTGTATTAACCTCAAAGATCAGATCGAGACCTTCATACGTCAGGGTCGCCTCAGCCGATTCACAGACACCCGCCCTCAGCAGCGGCAAAGAACCAACCTTTCCAGGAACAATCGCCGGCATACACCACCTCGGAACCAAGCCCCACCTAACCAAGGCCATGATCGCCCACCGCCACAGCCTCGACCTCCAGGCAATCCCCCTCCACCAATCGGAGAAATCAGAGTCATTTCAGGTGGCCTTGCTTGCGGGGGACCATCCCGCTCGGCTCAGAAGGCAGAGCTCAGAAAAATAAGGCAGGGCTCAGACAAAGTAGTGGCGACGGTGGACCGACCCGCCAAACAGTCAAAACAGTGGATTGAACCCATCACCTTCACGGACACCGACTGTGCAGGAGTCCGTTACCCACATGATGACCCCCTTGTCATTTTTGCCATCCTCTCCAACTACAAGGTCAGACGAGTCCTTATAGACAATGGCAGCTCTTCAGACATCATCTTCCTCAATTGCTTCCGCCAGCTCAAGGTTGGGGAAGAAAGCTTGTCTCCCCTCCAAACCCCTCTGGTCGGTTTCACCGGCGACCATGTCACCTCCATCGGCTCCATCGATCTACCTATAACCATTGGCGAACACCCGAGGCAGACCACTAAGTTGCTCACCTTCCTTGTGGTCGATTGCCCCTCTGCTTACAACATCATCCTTGGCCGCACAGCCCTAAACGCCTTCCAAACCATCACATCCACCTATCACCTTGCCATCAAATTTCCTACCGATCTCGGTGTCGGAACTGTCAAAGGAGAACAAACCGTGGCCAG